CACGATATAATCAACACACATATATTGTAACAATTTTGCAGAAAACATATTGATACAACGATTATCTTCTACATTAAAATACTAATATGATAAAACTATGTTAACACGTCTTAAAAAAGCACAGTGCAAAAAGAAAGTTCATCCTTACATTATTTATTATAAATGCTAAATGAATGAATCTTAACAAGTCTTTAAAATACTAACTCCAATTGTTCTATTTTGATACAATACGGGTATTTTTCAACTTGATTTACAAAATGACAGTTACCCAAAAATGATGTCTCTGAATAGTGAGTGAAAGTTATTATATACAACTATTCAATGCTAATTTTAAAAAATATTATTTTTCACTTCAAGATACGATAACTCTTTTTTAAAGCACGAGGAATCTCATTCTTCAAATGGCAGTTGGCAAATTACTATTAATACAAAAATTGGAGTTGAGTTATGTGGGATTCATTTATTCATAGCATTTGAAATTTAAAAGGCAAAACGTAACTATACTATACGTAACAATGTACACAACAATATGAAATAAAATATGACTTAAAATCGTTCAAAATATAAAACACACTGGATTTATAAATGTGACATCTTGCAAAACAAAGACGATGAAATTTTACAAACTCTTCATTCTCGTAACTTGATGTAGTTCTTACATGTTGAAGTCATTTTTGTTGTGAATGATTTGTTGGCCATTTATATGAACTAAACTGATTACTTTTATTCTACAACCATCCATAGTTGACGTTTGCTTTGAATTTTCATGACATGTTGCTGTTATGATCTATAACCTGTGTGATTCATAGCACACAGGTTATAGTATCATTCAAGTACATAAATATTTCAGAGCATGAGAAAAGGCGATTAACTGTTATGATTTTTACGATGGCAGTGGGATTAGATGAAGAACTGCTTCAATTAATGATGCAACTCCAAAAATCACTTTAGCATATTCTAATAGCCACAATGCAATAAAATCAAATTCTTTTCATTCACTCTCATGATTACTTATGCGTTATGTTCACATCAAAATATCCATTTGAGATGATAATTTTCACGCTTCAGTTTTATAAAATGTGAACAAAGTGAACAACAAGCTTCACCATTTTAAAAATGTAAAAGTTCACATCTTCCAATTTTGACAACAGATGACATTTCAACAAACACGTGACCCTGGGTGACGTTACAAAGTACAACAATAAATCCACAGAGAACCATGGTACATAAATTTGTCATTTCTTTCATTACGTCACTTCCTGAAATAAAGCTTCTGTTTCTTGTATTAACGTTTGAATTAAGAGTTGACGATGGAATTTTACAGCCAAGCCATAAACATATCAAGCTTTGGCAAAGTAACTTGTAGTATGTCCACTGATGTTTGAGTTGATGTTGTTAAAAATTATTTCCACAAAATATCGATTCACAAAGTAAAAGTGTTCAAACTTTAAAATGCTTGATATCAATTTTTCAGTAAAAGTTAAAAACTTGTCATTAAACATCTTTCCATGTATGACATTGTCGTTTGTTTTCTTTCTCTATATTGCAAAACTTTCCTTGACTTTTGTTAACTTTTCCTGTTCATACAGTAACACATGGTTTGGAATGTTCATTCACAATGGTTAAATTGTTTATAAAGATGATGAACGTCAATCATGAAGTCATTTTCTTGTGGAGTTACGATTTACTTTTTCACAATCAGTGACAAAGACAGCCAAATTTTTAGTTTTTCTTGAAAAAATTAGCAAAGGTACCATTTTTTATTATAAATTTACGTTTTTCAAATTGATAAAGATCAAAATATTCATATAACCGAAGAACAATTGGGCTGACTTTGTCTCTCTTAACAACTTAACAAATAGATATTTTGTAAATCAAAATGCAATAATTAAAAGTATTAAGAAATTATTTCAGTGCAAGATAGTATTGATTTAATTAGTAACAACTTGTTTTTGGTGTAAAAGAATATCGAAAAACGTGCAATATTAAAACCATCCTACACTGAATACATTTGCATGAAAATTATATGTTTACATGGTGTAGATATAAACAAAATATAACCTATGGTACAATAACTAACAATAGCTTGCATTTTATATGTTTGTGTGATGAGATAAAAGTCAATAAAATTATTTTCTTGTACAAGGTAAATTAAAAAAAATTCGGATCGTTCAGCCAAAATTGTTCCATTGTTTATCATGATGGTCAAGGCAGATTATTAAGTTGTTTTCTTCTTAAGAATGCAATTTTCTTATTTCACACTCAGCGGCGAAGCTATTCCAAATTTGTAGTTCTTCCAAAAAAACTTGGCAAAGCTACTATTCAATTTGTTAACGACGTTCATGAATGATCACAAAAAAATATTTGTACAACAAAAGTTTGGGCTAGCTTCGTCTCTGTTAGCTATAATATCTTCATTGATATTTAGATATTTTACTATCAAGAGCATTTATTACCATAACTTTTCAGCTATTAAAGTATTAAAAGTATTTTAGTGCAAGATAGTGTTGGTTAACAATTTGTTTTTAACGCAAATAACTAAAAACGTGCAATATGCAAAATTGAACCACCTTGCACTAAAAATTTGCAAGGTAATTATGCGTAAAACTTCAAATTTTTCTTTCGAAATTTCTAGTATATAAAAGTTTTGTTTAAGAACTGTTTTGCTCTGCATAAGTTTAGAGAAGAATTGTTTTCATTTCTATATTATTGACTTGAGAGCAAAACATACTGAAATTGCCCACATTCAGCGAATGGAAAATCAACGAAACCTACTTAGGTTTGCAAACATACGTCTATCCAGAGAAAGAATTTCATAAAAATACTGTTTTTACAATTTGGTTGTTCTAACAGATACCTTGTTTTGTCAATTCACTGCACTGGTCAGATCACTGCATCGGCACCGCAGAGGTCATAAATACCTTATTTTGATGATAATGTTAACAACTAGATCATGCATAAAAACAAAATTAGTCAATGAAAGATGCAAATTCATCATTAATGATTTAACAAAGAAGAACAAAATGACGTTTGTTAGATAATGATTTTCCTCAGAAATAAATGTTGTTTTTTACTATATCTTAGCAAGCATACATATAAAATGCAAATTATCATGTGAGTTCTTCTACCATTCCAAAATATTTGATGTAAAATTTAATATAGCTACAACAATGCTTTAACATATAGGAAGAAAGCCTAAAAAAGCAGTGCGGACATAGAAGTACGTAAAACAGCAATGCTCAGATATATTTTGATTGACAACTAGCTACCAATAATTTGATGGCGTTGTAGTAGAACTTTTTTATAATAAATCTGTGTTGTCGTTGAAGTAAATTTCTCCTCATGTTTAATTTTTATTGTGTTTAAACACAAAATTCGTTTGTGTGTGGCCCTGTTCTATATTGTTATTTAAGTTTCATTTTTTATTTAGGAATTTTAGTTTTTTATTGGTAATCGCCCTTATTGTTGATACTGAATATTTTACACTTACACATGTGTCATTGCAATTATGAATTGCATTTTCGATTATTTTAAATTTTGTTAATGACTTACTACTTACCAATAACGAACAAAAAATGATGTAAATTTAAGTTGTTGCACAATGAAATCATAATACCCGAAATATGATCACCAAATAAATGAGATGTACTTTCAGCTAATGTAGTTGAGATGACGATGAAATTTATTCTCGGGGCAAGATGATTTTTGCGCAATTTACTGGGACTTGTAGGTCAGTAAATAAGGTAAAGGCAAGTTGGCTTTTACGACAAAAATATAAAGTTTCTAAATGTCTTCTCCAAAGCTTATTGACAAAAGGGTAATCTAATTTTATTTTCTTAAAACACTTCAAATCAATGAGCGTTAAGCTACTACAAATTATAAATCTATCATCAATAAAGACAAACTTACCTGACAAATTGAACTCATCTAAAGTATAAATAACTTGCATGGTTTTAATGTGAAAGACTTTCATGAACATAAACTTGTTACTTGTTAATAATTTATCAGCTGATGGTGAAAAATCTGCGTGATTTAACTTATGATTTCTACGCATTAGCTGAAGCCGGCCTCCAGTAAGGACTTAAACTTTATACCACTCCAACCATCAACTAGTTTATCTTTGTGCCACAAATAGTAAGTTTCTTTGTTTCTTTCGTTTTCGCAAACACGTGATACTTAGAGCTACATGCAATACGTGCACATTTCGATAATTTTCAAAATTCATTGATATTTCTTTTCGTTTGTTTTCAATATTGAAAACACAAGAGAATCAGTTTTTGACAAGCAAATGATACATCACTTACCTCAAAAATTTTGTTTGTACCTTTTAGTTCATCGAAACTATAAATAAGTTTTGTCAAATCATTATTCCAAAGCTCAGGAATGGCTTTAGCCGTAAGCAAAATGACTCCATTTTCTACGGCAACCATGCCATTAACAATACGTTCCTTGTTAACAAAGTCTCCTGTGTGAGATTGTTGACTATGACGCATGACGTTTTTTATCTCTCCGATACAGAAAGTTGCCATTTGAGCAAACTATCTGGTTATCAAGAACCAAATATTTTGTTAAAATTGTGCGCGCCATTAAAACAAGATGAGAAGCATGTCCATAATCAAATATAAGTACATTGTTATCATTCAATAAATAATAATAATATCCTGTGAAATTAATCAAAGAAACGCCTAACATGTTATCATCAAAGGGATCAAGCGAAGACAAACCAAATGTACGCTCAAGATCTAACCCAGGAAGTGCCTCTTGACTAGGATTGACAACGAAAACTTTGTCATTATGAGACAAAGCACAAGACCAAGAATGAAGACCAACAGTGGAAAGAATACGAAGCTTTCTATCATAATAGCGATAGCACTTTGCATCATTTTCAAAAGGTGAAGAATCGAATAACTTATAATCCTTCGTTACGTCAAATGTTTGAAATACGTTTTTTTCATCAATAATACCCAAATATTTTTTTGAATTGGAAAAACACAGGGATGTCACATTGCTGCATATAACACTGTGCATCTTTTGACCTTTCTCAACGTCCCATACAGTCAAAATATCTTTGTAACTAGTGACCATTGTGTACTTATCCTTGGAAAACAACTGTTGGTAAAGAACTTACAAGTTGAATCATCACAATGAAAAGGACTAGAGACAACTTTCCTGTCAACATTTAGAACTTTATCCAATTGGGAAACGAAGATCAGATCGGTGAAAGGATGAAAGACAACGCAAAATCCTTTCAATTCACTTAGACTTAACTGATCAGATATATCTTTTATCCATAAACACCTGTTCGTTGTCAGAGAAAAAAGTTGAACTATAAACCCTTCATAACCACAAACGACATAGTCATAATTTCGCGATACATTTACTGAAATCAAGTTTCGCGCTAAACGTAAAAATGGATTTAATACAAAATGCGTATCGAGGCGCTCAACATAAGAAGACTCTCTGAAACGTGTTTGAAGCATTGTGGAAGCTTTTGGCGCAAGATCTTTAATTTCGTTGACAACGTACTGCAAAAAAATTATAGAATTCATGAAATGCCTCGTAATAGCACAATAAATGTCATTAAATAACAATCGAGTGCCCTCAGAAAGATGAAAGTATATGTTATGAGAGCTTATAAGACGAAAGTTTTCCAAAGTACGATGTCTATCAATCGATACAGAGGCAAGTAAAACATCTAAGTCAACAAGATATTTACCAACATATTCAACAACATGATCATTATCACAAATAGCAATCATATGAAGAAACCAATATTTGACTGAATACATTACTGATGCCCGCTTAACAAAGTTATTGTAGTCCACGTCGACAGCTTTGAGATTGTCTAAAGTTCTTGAACAAAACGCTAAAACAACTCGATTACCATCAGTAGTATTAACAGAGTAATTATGTTTACACTCGCCAGCCAGCCAATCAGATAAAGATTTGTGGAAAAACGAAACATGTCCTTCTGCATTGGTAGCAAAAAGGCACAACATAATTTCTCTAACCACAGATGAAACGCAATTGAAATTAAGTATGTCCTCAACTACTTCCCAAGGAAGGGGTTCTTTAGCAACTGCTAATGTATTTAAAAGTGACTGAAATTTTTCTTTACTGATTTGAAATGAATCTAATTCGTCACTTATTCTTTTTAAGGAAATTTCGTAATATTCATTGAGATCCTTTGGTATGGATCCATTGAACGAATCCTGATTTTTAATTTTGCTGGAGAGAAGCGATGCAAGCAACATAAGTCCGTCAGACTTTTCTAGCAAATTTTCCTTAAGATGCAAAACTCTATTAGTGGGACCAATTCTTTCATCAATTAGTAATTTTACATCATTCAAGTTATCATCATCACTGAAATTGATGAAGAGCGGATTTAGTTTTTCAATTATGATATGACAATCTTTGTTAGGTCTTGTTGTGATTACAAAGTAGAAACAAGGCGGAAGTTTGAACAAATGATTATCTAACAAATCAGCCAGGAGAAGGCTTTCTGGATAACCACATTCATCTAGCGCATCCAGCATAATTAAAGTCCGCTTAGGAAATTCCGTGATTTTTTCAAACAACTCAGTAAAAAGAAAGGAAAATAGTCTTTCAACATTCATGTCACGCAGAGGTTCTGAGACATTTCTAAGTTTCACCTCTAAAAGCTTTTCGTAAGCTGGAAAATTGCGAGCAATTTGCCTAGCTAAAGATTGAAGAAGTACATTGGCATCATTGAAACGACTGTCATTGTGTTGAAAGAAATGAACTGCAGCGAAATAGCTTGGATAACGTTTACATAAAGTTGCTGCAATTGCAGACTTACCCATTCCAGCAACAGCAGAAATAACAAATGCACGATTTTGAGAAGTATTGTCTTCAAACCAAGCCAAAAACTCATCAAAAACCCATTCCCGTGTTCCATGTAAAAATGTTTCATATTGATTACTAATGTCACACTCAAAATTACAACTTACAAGATTGTTGGTCAAAATATCGGCTCCAAATTCAAAACTGGGGTTTCTAACTGTTGTTTCGTTACCCACTAGACATAGAATCGGCTGAGTTCTTTCTTGGTTTAATTGATCTATTTTTTGCTGACTTATTCCTAAACGAACTATTGGTTGGCAAACTTCCTTCCACAAAGTCTCAAAGTCACCTAAGCTAAATGATGTGTTAGGTATGTGAGCATAACACTCATTACGATATAACCTGATACGGGTAATATCGGCTTCGGTTGAATGATCGGTGGCATTAGGTTTGTTTGTCCAGATAGGATTATTCGGTTGTTTTAAATTGCAAATAGTGCGCAAAAGGACACAAAGTAGAGTAATGTCAAAATCATTTTCATCAGGTAGTCTTGGAGGATCTGGATACAAAAGAATCCATGCATCGTGCCTGATTATTTTCTTCTTTATTCTCAAAAGCTTATTTCTATTTTTAGTGGTATTCAAGAAAAAGAATAATTCAGTACCTGACATTTGTTTTCTCAAAGTTATTCTCAAAGCTTCACCCCCATGATCAACAATCAATTTCCCCAACATAAAAATGTTTACTTCCTTTTCTGACTTGAAGAAGAACGCCATGTCATCACCGGTAGCTAAGAAAACAGCTTACAATTTAATGACAGATTTTGAATGACTTACAATTACATCAAAGACATATATTTAGAATAATAAATAGTGATTGAGAAATACTAATTATAGTATCAAACATTCTTTTTTCAATGTGTGTAGTAGGGATTTGAAACTGTAAAGGAGAACTACATCCTCACAGAATGTTGGTATTGAAAGTTGTATTTGTATGCAAGGGTTACAAAATATATTTTGAGATTATGAAATCAGGTGCTTCATTTTGAACAAAACCGCATCTTCAAGTGCTTCATTTGAGCTGTTTTGAGGCTTAGCAGCGTGTGCGCTGATGGAAATTATTTGACGTCATATCGTCAAACCAATTTCTACGGGACTTGATGCCAAGATATAAAATTTCCGATTTCCAACTTCCTGTGTTCAAAATTTTTGACACTTCCGAGATGCAAATTTCCGACTTCCTTTATACAAATGTATTGTATAAATCCTTTTCCAACCAACAATTTCAAAAAATAAAGGAAAAACACACTCCAAAAAACATCATCTGGTAAACTCAAGATTCGAGTTATAAAACCAAGAGACAAGATTCAAAGCAATATTTGACTTTAATTCAAAGTCATTATAAAGCTAAGTCATTGTTTACAAGCATGCGTGATCTTAAATAGTTGTTACAAGGAAATGACGTAAGCAACGAAAAGAAAGAAAGGCGATGAAAGGAGGTACTACTGTCTAGAATTACATCAATGAAATTAAAAATAATAGCAAGTTCTTTAGAAGCCTTTGGTCCAGCATTTAGCTGAAGCTTTTTGAAACGCATATAAATCGCCTCAAGGGCCTTGCTCATCGCCTTGCCTTTCCTTGATGCTTAACATATGATGACCCCTTTTCATTTTCCACGTCAACAAACGGTCGATCTTCATCATTCGCGATAACATTTCGGACATATTGCGAGTTTGAATGCCATTTTCGAATCTTGAATCCTCCCTCGCTCATTAATTTTCAAGATATATGATAGATGTATAGAGCTTCGTCTTCATTAGAAGCTCCACCAGCGAAATCGTAAACATATAACGACTCGAGGAGATAACGAATAAGGAGACTATTTCTGGATCGACATTCTTGTATTTCGAAACGTGGTGAAGACTAACAGTAGATAATATTGCAGGACTTGTGGTTAGACCAAATGGTAGGCGTCGGAACTTGTATTTCTTTAGCATCGGTGAACTTTGTTAATATCGTCAAACCAAAGAAACTTCAGCATCTTTCTGTCTTCGGGAGCAATTTGTATTTGATGAAAAGCCTTTTCGATATCGGCAACAAGCCCAATGGGGAAGCCTTGAAAGTTTATCATAGTGTCAATTAAACGATGAACCAAATTTGGTCCCTTTTCGAGACAATCATTAAGTGACTGCTCTTCCTTATTAGCTCTTGCCGAACCATCGAAAACCACGCGAAGTTTTGTAGTTTCATTATCTTCTCAAAGTACGCCATGATGGGGTAGGAAATAACCGGTTTCATGTGCAACAAGAACTGGGTCAATAATTCCGCCTTTCACTTGATCTTTGATAATTGTATCGTATAATTGCAATAAGGGTTTATCTTTATCGAGACGAGATTTTAGAAGGTGTAGTCGTTTCAAACACCTACCGTAACAGTCTGATTTTGGAATATATTCCCCCTTCCAAGGTAAATTCACTTCATATCTCCCTTCATCCTCCAGATATTGTATATTCTTCAAAAACTCCTGATCCTGTGATTCGCTGGATTCTTTGATTCCCATTGATTCGATCTTCCAAAACCGTTTCGAACATTCATGTAATTTGGGTTCTCTCTTGTCAAACGGAACTTCCTTTGAAAAATAGTAATCTTCGATGATTAAATTAACGCTTGACAATTTCGAACTAGTTTCACCATCATTCGTCTGTCCAGTGATAATCCAGCCAAATTCACTATTAAACGCAACAGGACCACCTTTACTTCTTATAATCTCGCCTGTCATGATATCAAAATAATAATCGGCTCCAATTAGAATGTCGATGTTGTTGTCCGTCTGTCGTCCAGAGAGGATATTGGTATCGGAAAGCTGCAACTCCATCAGATGAGGATAATGATTGAGATCAATTGTCGTTGTTAATGGAGAGCAAATATTTGGGAAGCAAAGAGCTGTTATGATTCGATTTCCATTTTTTCCTTTCAGGGACAAATGAACCAAGTCGCATTTTTCCATTGTAAAATGTTGGTTGCCAAAGGTATTTAAGTTAACAAATTCTCTTCTGATGGGAACTAGTCCAAGCCGTTTTTTTAATGAATTCGTAACATAAGTGCGCTGACTACCGCTGTCCAAAAGCACGCGAACAGGTATAGAAATGGAACCATTCCCGCCACTGGCGTATGTAATAGCTGTTTGCAGAAGAAGTTGATTACGCGTTTTTGCCGTATTCGTCGTTAAGTAATTATCTCCATCAATCATGGTAGCTGTGCGAACGTTGTTCTCTTCCTTGGTTTCTGGTAGGTTGTTTCCAGTGGGGGAAAGTTTGGGATCATTTGCATTCTTTTGTTGAGGAGGCGTAAAACTTGACTTAATCACTTCACAAATCGATTGATGATGAGCCCCATGACAACGTCTACAATTCTTCTTTGACTCGCAATTTTTACTGAGATGCCCGATTCGCAGGCATACAAAACAATGATTGTCTCTCCTCAATATACTCTTGCAATCATTCACATCAGTTACTCTATCAAACGATGCCGAAAAGTGTGGCTCTTTACAATAAACACATTGAATATGTTTACCTGAAGTATTTTGAGTCGAAAAGGCGTTCACCGTAGGTATTCTGGGTGTTTGGTGCTTACCTCCTAAATTTTTTCCATGCTGTGGCTGTGGACTTGATTGCACTCCTTTACTTATCTCCCGTGCCTCGATCTCAGTCTTTATTGCATCCAACAACTCATCAATTTTCCAAACGTCTCCCGACGATTTTCGGGCAATTTGTAGACGAATGTCACTAGGTAATTTAGTCATAATAATCGGGATAAGCATTCTACCATATTGTTCAGAAGAAACGCCAAGACTCGATAATCCTCGTACATGAACGCTTACTTTATCGTATATGTATCTTACTTGGCTAGTTCTACCGTTGGCAAAAGCTTGAATCTTTAAAATTTCATCCATGTGAGCTGCTATGGTTTGCTGGGTTTTCCCGAAGTGATCGTTCAAGATCTTTACAGCAGAGTCGTAATTGGCATTAGTTAATGTTAGACATTTAATGGCCCTCGCTGCGTTTCCCTCAAGAAGCGATTTCAGATAGTTGAATTTGTTTACCTTCGAAATGTTTGGATTACTGTGAATCGCAGAATCATACAGATCCCAAAACGAACTCCACTCCGTAACCTTACCAACATATTTCGGAAGCTCCAGCTTAGGAAGCTTCGGCATATTCGACTTAAATTGGACCGTCGTCGTACTGTTGTCACTCGTTACATTTCCTTCGTTTACAATTTCGATCGTAGCTTGATTACTTGAATCTTCGATTAAACCAGAGTTTTCCGTCGTATTTATTAAATTTTCGTTAGAGTTCTCGCTACTTTCGTTTTGGCCAAGGTTTGATATGTTCGTCAAATTCGAGTTAAATATGGTATCGTTGACATTCGTATCAACTAGACTGTCATTCTTAACGCATTTGATATACCTTTCGATTTTTCGTTTTATACTCATAACTCTATCAGAAATTTCGACCGAGTCCTCAATTTCACCTTTTATTTCATTGACGTCACACGTGTTCAATATTTCTTCATCGAGTTCACTTAATATTTTTAGTTTCCCTTCGAGTTGTTGTGCGATGATTTCGCTACGTTCTACAAGATTATCACGTGGTGGCTGTGATAACAATTCAACTGACTCTTTCTCGAGTTTTGTACACACTCCGCGATGTCCTCTTCTTCTAGCACGAAGCCTTCCCAGTTTTTCCTCCTATTTAGTCGACATTTTCGTAAGAAACGAATATGGGCGACTTTATTTCGTTAATGCCGCTCCACGTTGGGCGCCATGTCATGCACGTTGCATGATAAAATCGTTATTTTTATTCTACAAGGAAGTCGTCAAAGAAAACTACTTCATAATTCAACAACAACATCTCGAAATCTTTATTGTCAACAACAACGCTAAAATTTTAAGAAGATCCGTGTTTAATCCCCTTATCCGTGTTTTATCCCAACCCAAATTGGACTGTATACCAGACAGACAGTACATCCTACTATGTACAAGTTGCTAGTACCGGTCGCCGGAAGGGTAAAATTGATATTTGTGATCGCTTGCGTTAATATGTGTGAGCTAAAAAATATTTAATACGCTACGTTGGAATTACAATTTGCCTAACCTTTTGAAGTTAGTAAAGATAAATTCTTAGATTAAGTATCAACTCTTAAATTAATACGAGAAAGCATTGTCCAAATGAGCTTTAAAGGTTCGGAAAGATGTAAATAAACGTGTCAGTAAACTGAGGTCAAATTTATAAATATAATACTACCAAAATGTACATAAATGTAGCTCAGTAAAACCTTTCACTGCTTTCTATTGTATTAAAAAATGAAGTATATAAAATAATGATGCAAAAGAGTTGATTTTTCTCATGGAGATATTTGACTCATTCATATTATTTATGAATGAAAAAATAATATGAATGAGTCAAATATCTAAACATGAAGCTAGTATATTTATTGGTAAAAGCAAAGTCACATAACAATGCCCCTACTTCTTATCAGACGTGTGTAAACACCTAACAAAGTTATATGATAGTTATTGCCTCAATCCATGTCAATAAACTTATTCGCAGTGTTGGTATATAATTCATCGTGAATATCCAACATTATTCAGATATAATTCCTTTTGTAAATTGTTTTGTTTACCCATTTAATACAATGTTCCTGCAGCTTGGTTAGCAGTTAGATCATTTTAATGTATAATTCTCAATATAAAATGTGTGATTTTGATTTACCTGTGTATTTTGTAATGGGGAAGGATGAATGTGTATGGGTGAAGGATGAATGTGTATAAATGCTCATCTTTGCAAATTAAGTGTCTTGCTACATATACATATAGCACATTATACTGAAAATTACTGAAATAAATTGATTTAGCACATGACCACATACATATTACTTAAAAAATGGTGATCATAATTCATACCTTATTGTTACATCAATCTTTCATCCATGTAAGTTTCGTTACATAAACACATTTCAATAGCGAACGAAAATGAAGAGTGAGTCAGGATCTGCTTCAACAAACAGTATAATAAAACATTGATGACGTCTATGTAGAACATACTAGTTATATAACTAAGTATACATCACTGACTAAAAACAATTGTTATAGAAATAAAAATACATAAATAAGAACCTCATGCAGAGTACATAATAGCATTGAGATTAGTCAAATTTCCAAAGGACTAATGCTAAATCTTATAAAGTTTCACAAGTTTTAACTCAGGAATAGAGAATCACCTATCTAAGATGGGATTTAAATGCCGATGATTAAGACACGATTTTCGAAATTGTGAATGGATTCTTTCCTTCATTATTCCAAAATGCCATACATATACATTTTTGCATAAGTCAGTTCGTATGATAAAAAACCTTTGTTATTGAATAAACCATTATAAATTATGAATACGTGGCAAACATCAACTGCACGCAATTATAATTACTTATGTTCAATAAAAACACTGTAGATACAACAGTGAAGGATGCATTGAAAGTAAACCTTAAAACTGTTAAACTAACATGATCACAAGTATAATTTTAGAAGTACACTGTGTTGCAGCGAAGATGAAAAATGAGTCAGGATCAACTTCAACAAACAGCATTATGAAACATTAATGACATCTATGTCACAGTATAGGCACAGAATAAGAATATGCACAAGAGTCACTTGTGTCGGAACCCTGTGATGTTTTTGTGTAAGGTCCACAGTAGGTCCACTTTGTGTGCAACTGGCTGCTGTATATTTAATTAGTTTACTGGCTGCCGTTAGGCATTTCATCATTCCTATTCGTCAAAAAAACCAATTGACTGGCTGCCACTATGGTAATCCCATGCATAATAAGATATGTGTGGCACGAAAATTTCAATAAAGTGGCTCTACTGTATGTTCTTCTATGTTGTGTCTATGTAGAAAATCTCAGTTATATAACTAAGTATACATCATTGACTAAAAACATTTGTCATAGAAATAAAAATACATAAATAGTACCGCATACAGAGTGCATGATAACACTGAGATTAGTCAAATTTCAAGCGACTCGTGCTAAATGTAATAAAGTTTCACAAGTTTTAACTCGGGAGTCAAGGATCAACTATCTAAGACAGGACTTGAATGTCAATGCTTAAGACACGATTTTCAAAAATGCAATTTTTTTTTTTACTTTCTTTAATCAAAATTCCATACAAATAGATTATTGCATAAGTCATTTTATATTATTATTATTATTATTATTATTAAAACCTTTGTGATTTAATAAACCATTGTAAATTATAAATAATTTTCAAACTCCAACTACACGGAATTATAATTACTTATGATAAAAAACACTCTAGACACATGGTTTGAACCCAGGGGTTTCGTTACATGTTTTTAGATGTAGATCATCATGGTTAGTAAAGTCCTGACAAAGTCAACTTGACTTTAAAGGTGACTGCTGCTAAGGAAGTCAAAACGTCAATCAAAAACAACAAAAACAGTCTTTCTCATGGCTCTACTAACCTGGACGGTCTACATCTACAAACATGTCAAAATTTGACATTAGATAAATCATTGGAAGTCAAACTACTTATTTCCACCAAAGGTTTTTGCGAACCTTGTAGGCTGATCGATTTAGCAACGTTCTCTCAACTGTGTTGTTTGTTCAATTTCCCCCAATCCTTTGGGGTAACCATTACCTTCGTAGGACTTCTAGCACTTCAACAGGGCAGCATATTGATATTTACTGTCTCGATTCAGAGAAAATCGTTCGTTCGCAAGGCCGTACTGCCATTGTAGGATTCCAATAGAATATGAATTTCAACAATCGGTTGCAACTAAAAAATACGTCAAACATGTCAAATACGTCGTAAATATGAGTGGACAACAATTAATAAGAATTTAAAAAATTTCAATGTTGCCAGTGAGGTGCCAGGTGTGGATAAAATTCTAAATATAAAGATAAAATCCCAAAAGATCGTGTTTGAGAAAGCCATCAGCATTTGATTTTTACAGTATTTATTTAAAAAAGCAAGCGACGTTTCGTCTTGACTCAAGACTTCTCAGACTAATTACATAGACTTACTACGATGCTCAAACGTTTCTGTTTATTACTTTTACTTTGCTGTGTTCCCTTTTACAGGAAGCAACTATCTTTAACTCCCTTTTTTCTCTTCAGATCTTAAAAACTCTAAAATTGGTCTTTGGAATAGTTCGGGGGGAATGAACAATCCCCTCAGCACTTTTCTTGGTAAATTTCCCCGCATTACTTATCCCCCCCCCCTTATATCTTGTCCAATCTTTCTTACATTTCCTTACAACACACAATATCATCTTTACACTGTAAGTACACATCCACACAAACCTCACATCTTAACTATCTAAGTAATTACATCTTATTTGAAGATGTCTTGAGTCGAGACGAAACAACAAACATCACTTGCTTTGTTTTAATAAATATCAAAGAGATCGAACGCTTATAGTTATCTTCAAAACGATCTGTTGGACTCTAACCTTTAGGTTGATAATTCAATAAAAAATCTTTAATACTTCAAACATGTTGCCTTGTTAGTACATAAAACACTGTCTAATTCTTGTTGATCAACGTTATCAACGTCGTCGTCGGCGCTCATGATTCACTGTATAAAGAAAAAAACGTCAAACTAGATCAATTGGTCAATTTTCACTTCAAAATATCATGTATTTTCAGTAAACATCGACTAAAAATCATCTAGAGTTGCAACTACCTAATAAGTACCATGCTTATAGCCATGCATTAAAGTCAATAACAAGCATAATTTCTGTTCAACGAGAATGATCATGACGAAGTAAGAGATTGCGAACTATACAATATCACATGTGAAAATGCGTCATTATGTCGTAACAAAACCCCATCATTCTTTGCGGACGCAGACGTGGTGCATAATAGAAGTGAAAGCCGTTAAGGAGAGTAGCCTTTTATCATTTCTCAAATAAATATGTTGACTGACGACTTTAAGCGATAAAATAAAATGAAGTCTACTGCTGTCGACACCTTAAGAATAAAATTGAATTTCAACAGATAAAATTTTACAAACTCTTTCGATTTTTGAAATAGAATTCGCCAACAACCGTCATGCATAGCGCGCATTTGTTCATTTCACATCAAAACAACTGTAGAATCACACATATCAACTATTGTTACTTAAAAAACGAATATCAAAAATTCATCAAACATTGCAGTGATTAGTACAACGAAACATGTAACAATAAATTCAAATTTGGGAAGTGTTGTGTCCCAACATTTCTAGGAGCGAATGTTTATTAAATGATTTTTATTTTCTGTCGAAGACTCGAAGATATTTCGATCTTGTGGAAGCTGCTTTTAGTTAACCTCTTAATCACAAGCAGTAACTAACGGTGATTTACATTGACTAGTCTTTGGGATCGCATGTAATTTTGCATTGCTTAAAATCATTCATACAATTTATCAAACTTTTAGCAACATATAGATAGCGAATGTTCACGGAAATAATCTTAACAATCTGAGACAAACTGGAATTCGAATTCAGGAGTTCGTTCCCATGTACTTTACTTATGTCACTGAAATACGAACAACAAATACTTAATACATGATATTTACCTTTTGATGAAAATGCTTTGCACAATTTTATCGAAATTTTCTCAAGGCGTCTTCTCCAATGAATGCGATGACTAGAAAATGAAAGTATTGATCTCAGGAAGAATGTCATATGATCTCTGCGTGACTAGAAATACTATATGATTAAATATCATGTGTATAAACTCACGCTAATTAACCTAATTTCTTTCCATAATTGACAAAAATTAGTCAATTTGATAAAAGAATTTTTGGTTTCACAAGAATTATTCCACAATATACAGCATAAGACTTCGGTAGAGAAATTTTTTATTTTACAGTAAATGCTACACGCAAGAAATTCATGGAAATTAAAAGTGCTAATTTAAAAGTCAATTGGTAAAGAAGTGACTACAATAAAAGTGTAGATTTTAGAAGAGGTCTGGTAGTGCAGCCACCAAAGATATTAAAGAAAGTTGAAACATTACCCAGAAAAACTCAGTTCAACTGTACTACTGATTTGTTTCGCTAAAAATTGAGAGAGTTAAAATGTTTACGACTGGGGAGTGCAATTTATTTTTGGGAGTTAAAAGGAAAGTTTGCGTACCCCCCCTGTACCCCTCCTCAGTAAATCTGTCCATGTTTTATAGTGGTTATCTAATTAATGGTAGGAGACATGGTAAAGCTGAAATGGAGAAAGTTCTTTTGAAATACTTTTGTTTTCTTGGATTACAGTAAATCACTCTACAAATATGGAAAAAGATTAATTTTTTGTTGAAAGAAAACTTACATCGGCGATAGGAAAACAATACTTATACTAATTCTTCCTAAGTTAAAATGGGAATAATAGTATATATCAATATATGAGTGATTATTTTACTTTCATTGCCAATTCGTAGTAGTTAAATTTTAACATTGCCAACAAACAGCGACACTCTTTTTTAAGCAACATTTTTCAAAGATGAAAGTTCAACATACACCATGTCATGAAGAAATTTATATTGCATGCGAATGAACGTAAATTGTGATCTAAACATGTTTTTGCTCAATAACCACATACCCAGAACTACATACGTTGTCTGTGAATTTTAGACAGGTGTGCTAAATATTCAATGAAAAATATTAGCTACATGAAAACTTTGCAAAGAACGTGAAATTAGCACGATAATTAATATCTCACTGTTGGTCATATATAAGTAGCTAACGTTTTAAACTTGTACATAGCTACATAGTATCTCTTGTAATTGTTGGCAGTATTGAGCACATGTTCTGTTCTACAGAGAAAAAATCCCAGTCTGCTTTCAAGACATCTATCAACGGGCTATGCTGATTTTGTAGAACTCATTTCTTTAGAAAATGTCAACCGTCGCCACTCGTCAGTTTGTACATTATAAATTTCTTACAAATTTGTTATTTTTACATACCATCTTGAGAATATTCTCTGCCTTTGCCATAAGATTCAGCAGTCTTTAGTTCAT